CTTGTGCTGACTAAAGCATAAATACTGTGTAGTCAAGCACAAAACCCAAATAAGCTTTATTTCAAAATTCCCTCTTTGTAAATCTATTTCAAATTAATAGGTACATATGCAGATTGCCTAATTGTCGCCAGTAAGAGAAGGACACTCTCAAGAAAGCAGCTTATAAAGTGCATTCCAGGAGAGTTACCATTGGCAGCGATAGGCAAGTTTGGGCTAGTCAGTATCTGCTAATAACTTCAGATGCCTTCTTTAAAAGGCCAACCTTCCAATGTGTCCTGTGGAGAAGGAAGGAGAAGACTCCTGCAATCAGAAATTTTAGAACTACTTTTACTATTTACTATTTAGACTACTGTGGAACTCAACAGTGGGAGGGAACTTCTTTGATTGATTGTTTTGTGGGGTTTTGTTTTTTCTTCAAACCTTGGCTTTCTGACCTATTTAGATTAAAATCCTGTAGGCTTTAGGGTGTGGTTTTTTTTTTACTTCAAAACCTTGTTGCATATTTGAAAACTACCTGTAAATGATTTCTCAAAGGTCAAAATGGAAGAGAAAGAATCTACACCTTTCAACTTCCATCACTGTTTTAGACATGGAACCATTCTTTCTTTACACATCCCTACAGTTCAATCACAGTGCACTACTTAGGAAACAGGAGCAACAGCTAATGCATTGACTGGTATCTCACAACACAGCAAGACCTCCCAGGGCTGTCCTAGCCCAAAGAAGTATATAGCTTTATGGCATTCTCCTGCTATAAGGACTGAACTTGACTCTGCTGTTGCATTCTTTTTTTTTATTGAAAAAAAAACAAAAAAACAACAACAAAAAAAAACACCAAACCAAAACACCCCAAACAAAATAGCCACAACTGTTAAATTTGTTATCAAAAGCCAACAACCAGTTCAAATGCCTGCATATATTGTTGCTGTCCACGATAATATATTGCCAAAATTTTGTATTTTTATAAATATTATAAACATCACACATCAATTTGTCCCACTGCAGTATCTTAGGAATACTAACTGTTGTCTTGGAAATGTCAGAGATCCCATCCTTGATTACAACCCAACATAAAAGGAGGAAGACTTCGAGTTATTAGAGTTCAGCATGAATTTGTCCAGACTTACGTCTCTTATGATTGTAGGTACAAAATACATGGGCAAACCACAACATACTCAAAGGTCAGCTGTAAGCAGAATTTCTTTAAATGATGACTGCTGGTCCATCAGGGGAGCACAGTGTAAAAGTAGTTCCAAAAGGAAAAAGTTTCCAGTAACTTCTTACCCAATTATATCAGGTGCCTCTTTCCAGTTACTGCTGAGAATAACAGTTAAAACCAGTTTCTATCCTCTCTTTTCCATTCCATCACAATTCTTTTTGTGGGAATTTTTACTCCAGTGAGTATTTTGCTCATTGCTGTGACCTATCCTGAAGTTGCCTTTTCTGTTGTTGTTCAATGATGCTATGGAAGAAGAACTGCCTCCAAATGAAATAAATCCAGTACCTGAAACTGGAGTAACTCCAAGAACAGGAGAAAACCATTGACCCCTTTCCCTTCTTCTTCCACATGACTCTCCAGGGATTCTAGAAATGTTGGTAACTTTAAATGAATAGAAAACTGATTCTCTAAACATGTATGTGTAGAAATGAATGATATCTTTGCGTGTATTGTAAACTCTTCCACTTCTTTTTAGTTTTCCACTTAAACCTGCTTCCGTACATTTGTTAAGTCAGTCCAGTTTTTGGTACCAGGTAAGCTTTTGTATGCTTTGGTGACTTCTCCAAATTTCTTTTCTGCTACTTCTCTATTTTCTGGACTTTTTTCAGGACGCAACTTCAATGCCAGCTTTTGTTATGCCTTCTTAATGTCATCTGTAGAGGGACCCCTCTGCACAAGAGAGCTAATAGTAATTTTCCATTGTGCCAGGATGACCTCAGCAGCAATAGCATATTATATTCAGTAAATGACCAGAGGACCAGTTTTGCTTCAAATTCTCCCAGCATTCTTTCTGCTCTAAGTGACTGAGAACTGCAAGGTTTCACAGTATAGATAACATGAAAGCAGAGCAGCCAGCGTGCTCACATGCTCCTCCATGCCATGGCTCTGCTAGAAAGCAGCAGTGGACACAAGCTAGCATCAAACCCTAGCTCCCCTTCTGGTAAGGCATTGCAGTGAGGCCAGCAAACTAACACTGGGTTTCTTGGGCTTATCTGGCTATCGCAATACTAACGGCTAAAAGCCACTTGAACAACAATGAAAGTCAGGCATTGCACTAGTGTGTCTCAAGACATGGCAAACAGCGTCAGTTTTTGAGTGAGTCACAGCCCCATGGGCTCCCAGGGCTTCTAGCTTAGCCATGTACTGAGAGGCAGCAGTTATTTGAAGGTGTTCACACCCTCATCCCATATCTGCTCCGCCTTCCTCTTTGATAATCCTGTGCCTCTAACTTCTTGGCTTCTCTGATTTGCTTTCTGATGTTATGGTTGGTTTTTTTTTTTTTTTGTTACTGGGCAATATATTTCATTTGAATCTGTTTTCATCAGTGAGCTGACTTGCTGACATCAGTGAAACTCCAAGAAGGAATAATGTATAATCATCATACAATCATCACTTCTTACCAGCACTTACAACACAGTTTTAATAAAACATTCTGCAGTACTTAAAATGATTTCTCCTTCTCTTTAAAACATTGTGAGAAAAAAAAATCCAGTCTTAAAAATTCTTTGAGACACTTGCTTTGGGTGAGTCCAGATACATTCAGATTCATCAAAAGAAAGTGTGGACTCGGTTACTGTTGTGCAAAAGCTGAACATAGTAACAGATCTCATTGTTCTCAGCTATGGATGTTTTGTAAGGAAACCATTGTGCTACCCCTACTGAAGCAGACCAGTGAAAAACAATTTCCCATTGTTGTAGGTGAAACAGAATACCATTTACAACCTCATTCCCCTTCTAGTACATATTCAGGGCAGTAGCAGATCAAGTTAATTTGGGTTTCTGGGACCCAGGCAAGCTGCAGTACAAATGCACTAAAATGAAGATGGACAGAGCTTCAGCTGCATGCCTGGTAACTATACAGACTGCGGACAGCTAAGGGTTCAAAGTGAACCTGACAGCACTGGAATACCTGGAAGGCCTGGGGGATTTTGATAACAAATGCCATAAGCACACAAAGTTAGTGACTAGTATACAACATAAAAGAAACTGAACACGACCACCAGTAAGAGGTTAGGAACAGGGTTATTCCTGGAAGTGTTCCTGGTGCAGACAAGGAATGGGCTGGCAGAGCTGGCATGGAGGACCAGGTACTTGCTGCTCCTTGAGCTGCCAAGGGAACGGAGAGGGAAGGATGTGGCAATAAATTCTGCTGTAAGTGTCTGCCCCACATCTCCTGGTTGCATCCTGATGGCAGCTTTTAGCTTCCCTCTCTAAGGCTTTGCATAAAGTGAAGTTAGTAGTGGAATCACAGCCACATTTCTGCCCATGGCTACCCTACCAGAGCCCTGGCAACACATTGCTAAAAAGCAGCTTACTTCAGCTGTCCTCCTGAAGCCACTTGCCCTCACTGCAGAATACTAATAAAACCTTTACACTTTACTTCTATGCTGCTTTCCGGCAGACTGTTGCAAATTGCTTTGCTAAACCTCATGAGTTAGTCTCACATTGCTGCTGTTAGATCAGTAGTAATACTGCAGTATTATTGACAAGCCAGCTGAGGTGCAGAGGGGTTATTTGAAGAAAGTCAGAGGTACCTGCACTATAAGGAAAATAACTCCCAGAGGTTGTAGTTAAATTGCCTGTGTGTTTTTTTAAACCACATTTCCAGGGCAGTGGAGGAGACAAGGATGCTGGTATTTAGGAATGGATACACATAAAAAATTTTTTTTCCTATTTACCCATCTTCAAATTCTGAAAAAATTGTAGCACCTGCAGAAACAGCCTCTCTCTGCACCCTGCAAAAGAACTACTCAACACCAGGCTTTTGACCTGCAAGAACAAAGAGGTAAATTTAGATACTGTTATAGTCACTAATTCAAATCTCATGGGACTTTACTGTCCAGGTGCTGAAGGTTGGCATGATTAACCTGACCAACAGTAATGGCATTCCATGTTAGATTTACAGTTTCCCTACAAAGCTGCCCATAACTTGTACTAGATCAGTGCCTTGGAAGGTCAAGACATCTATTTTGATAGCTAGACACAGATGTTGTTTAAATAATTTCCTGGTAGTTGCACACAAACCTACAGACTTACCAGGGAAGGTGCTGAACCGACAATCTGGAAATGGAAGTTTCTTCTCTATGGGACAGGTGAGCTGTAGGCCAAGTAAGCCAACTTCCCTATTCCACACAGTAATACACCTTAACAGCATGCTGACAGGTGAGTTGCAAGGGGCCATATAACTATTAAAATTCTTTGCTCATCAAATCTACCAAAAGAAGCACCAGCAGTTACAAGAACCAGAAATGAAGATCCAGCCTCTTTCTCAGAAAAACATGCTGCTCCAGTGCCTAAAAAGATCATTCCCTTTTACTACCAACTTGTCCTTTCCTGTTTGCTTGCACTGTTAAGTTCAATGCAACCCAGCAGCCCCTTTGTTATCCTAGGTTTTCAAAAGCTACTTGCTTCTTAGGTGTCCCAGACTGTATAAATAGTCATAAGTGTATCTATACAATACACTAAGGAAGATGGGAATTGCCACTCACATTTTAAATAACATGATGGTGAAACTGAGTGGGTTGTACAAGAAGACTGAGGCCAAGGCAGAAAATTTGTTTAGATTCATCACTTCTCACATGACTCTCTTAGTCAAACTCCAACCCATTATTCATACCTTGTTGAACAATATTATTACTCAGAGATCATAGTCCCATGGATTTTTACCCTCCACTAATGTGGGATTTCCACTCCCATTTGACAGCATATAACGAAGTCCACGACAAAAATGTGCCATTTGAGAAAATGATGGCAGTCAATAGGTGTTTCCTAACAGATTTACCTGCTCTTGAAAAGCATTGGCTTGTTCTTCAAATCCAGCTGTTCTGAAATAATTCACAACATCGGTAACAGCCCAGTCAGCAGGATCCGGAGGTCTCCCATTCTCTACTGAACTGCAAAGTACAAATCCAGACAAGTAATCACTAAATGTGTGCAGAGTGTCTGCTTCTTCTCTGTGCACACCCCATGTACATTCCCTCCTTCCTTGTTCCTCCAGGAAAAGTAGCCTTTGACACACCTCCCCCTGCCCTGGTACAGAACAGCCACTCCCGTTCTCTTCCATTTCAAGGACCTAATGCTGGGGACAACTGAGGTACCTCTCCCTTCAGAAAAGAATAAAGTATATGAATCTTCACATCAGCCAAAAGTAATCAGTCAGGATCTTCGCAGTTCGAGAACAAAGACTATCATGACTGAGGTACCAAATACCTGCCTTTCAAGACTTACTTTCAGCTACCAAGTACTTAAACAGAATTGCAGTATGTGGATGTTATTCTTTCCCCAGATAAGACTGTACTTCCTTGTAACATGGGCAGAAACTACTGGAAAACACTTTTACCTTGCAAAACAAAACAATACCAACCAACCAGAGGCACCAATGCTTGCACTAATTGCTCAATACTGAAAATTTCCCTAAAGTGTTTTTGGACTCATCTTTGGACAAATCTATGGATTTTTTGTAAACACAGTCAGAATGAATGCCTTCTGTGCTTGACCTTAGGCAATTGCTTTCCACAGTAGCAAAACCAACCAGTCATTCATATTACTATGCTTATTCTGCATTTCTCATACTTAAACTGCCGTCACCCTATCTCAGATAACCTTTGTGCTTTTGCAAATTCTTGGTAACAAAAACAGTCAGCTTGATTGCCTTTCCTACAGCAGTTTAGGAGGATGAAGAGCAAGATGTCAAAAGAAAGGCGTTAAAGAAGTTCTTTCTCAACTAGAAGTCACAAAGTCCATGCCAGATGTTTCTGCAGCGTTCTGCATGCTTAAACATAATGCTAATGTAGAAATATTGAAAACTTATAGATCAGGACAGATGTCAGAATCCTGTCCATTTCAGGTCCTGAAGCTTAGAGGACTTTGATTTTCAACAGCACCAGCTGGAAAAGAGACACAGATTATACTCTGCTAACAGCATTTTTATGCCATTTTTCAGATTTTTCTTTCCCAGCTGTCACCACATCTGTCTTGACTAGATTTGTGTCTTTCAGCAAAATAACTGAGGGAATCAAAAGCCAACCATTTTTCTAACCAGCCATGAAAAGAAGTTAACAGAATCACAAAAAATACTCCCATCACTATTTCTACAACAACCCAATTTCTACAACTAGCTCAGCCCTGGGAAGGAGGACTCATGAACACACTGATCTTTGTTTCTCTCCTAACTTTTGGAATGTACCTGTCAACATGTCAACAAAATTCTGGTCCTAGGGACTCGCACTGCAACCTCAACATCACACTGAATGCTGCACTTTGCTTTCTAAAAGCAGTTTCTTTCACTTATCACATGGAATATATACAAATCTCAGAGCAATGAGCAAAGGGCCAGAGTTTCTTACTTCTGCTCATCAAGTAATGACTGACTTCATGAATTGCTTCACTGATTGTGATTACACAAAGAGGCAATACTCAGCAAAATTGAAAATGAGAGTATGCAGCCTTATCAGAACTGCACTTCGTTTTTTTATCAAAGAATGCCTTTCAATTAAGATTTTTGGTGTTGTACACATTCTGAGGCTTAAGAAGTAAAACGTGAAAAGCACCAGAGAAAACCTATACGTATTTGTAAAGGCAGCATTTGAAGTATTATATTTAAATCTTTGTATTTTCCCCTAGACTATCACTTTCAATGACTCATCTTCTACTTAAAATTAAAAATAAACAAACAAAACCCCAACTCCCCGGTATTTAAAAAGTAAAACCAACAATGTAATAAATCCTAAAAGATACTTAATTTAATTCTTCCTAAATAGCAAATAAAATATTCAACCTGTAAAAATACCTCCTAATTGTATTTTGCTTGCTTCCTGAAACACTCTAATTTCCAGCTAAATATGGTCTCAAACCCTGCTTCCCACAATTTCGTATTTCAGCCCACATATGCTAGTTCTTCATATAGCTCTTCTTTTACCGTTATGGAACTACAGCTTGGTCCAGCCCCATTCCAGGCTCAACTGCAATGACTTCAGGGGCTCTACCTTAGTCATTAACTAATCACAGAAAATAACTGCAAGCTCCCGCTTCAAGGAATAGCATCATGCTGGATCTCAAGTGGAGCCAATTTCCACAGCTACAGCTGCAGAAAACTCAAAGGCATGTGGCAGACTGTTGGAGACTGGATTTTATTTAACCCATCTACCCACACAGATGCCCATTTGGCTTCTAGACTTTGTCTCCTCTTTGCCCTGCTGTTGCACGTGGCTCTATTCTTTAGACAAGAAGAGGGAATACATAACAGCCATGGCATAGCCATACACCGGTTTATGCCAGACATTCTGGATGCTGTATTGTCTTAAGAGGACTGGCATTTTAGGCTTTGTAACAAGATACTAGATGCACTGGCAATGAATAAAGATGCGGCTTGACTGCTTTTCACCACTGTCCCTGTGCTTTATTGCCATCATGTGGCAGAAGCAGCAAGGCTTGCAAGGGTATAGCTGTGAACAAAAAGGTTTTAGCCAAGCTATTTATAAGCACCTCAAGAAAGTGCCAAGTACTTCCTTTGTAGATACATGCACATACAATGTTCATTTAGAAAACACAGCTCCTGATCAGTGTAAATATAAACCCCATCTAAAAAGCCAACTTTACCAGCAGTAGTTGAGCCCTTGTCACCTAAGACTCAGGGGGAAATAATTAAATGCAAACTTTCCTTGCCCTGACTGCCTCCTTTCTTCTCCCACCATAGAGTCCTCATTGTAGCAGCAAGACTGCCAACTGAAGGTGGCTTCTGAAGGACACACACATGATACAACTTATTCATAGTCACTGAATAGGAAAATGCATTTTATGTCGTTGTGGTGTAAGCAATGTCTCAAGAGAAGGGGGAGCATGCCAGTCTTAATGGCTGCCATCAGATCTTTTGATGCTGTGTCATAATCAAGTGTTTTACCAGCATCTTGAAGTGATGATGGTGATTATTACTACTACTACTCTAGTGCCTGGAAGCCAAAGCATTGTCAAGTTTTCTTGGAAGGCTTGTGGAAAAGAGATCTGAAGGAGAAGAATGAAGTGCAGCTTTGCAGAAGTGCTGCTGTTTGAGAAGACAGACTAAGAACTCACTCCAGTACCTTTCTTTGTGGTTTGGGTTTTTTGGTTTGTTGTTTTCTTTTTAGTATTTTGTTTTGGTTTTGCTTGGGTTTTGTTTCTCTGTGGGGTTTTTGTGTTTTGGTTGGTTTGGTTGTTTGGTGTTTTTTTATGGGGGGGGTGTGTTTGTGGGTTTTCTTTAAATATATCCATATATGCATATATCTACCTTACTTACCACAGCTTCTATAACTTTAAAGCAGCAAGGCCAAATTTTTAAACACAGAACTCCACTTCTCAGATCATAGCATCACTCAGAATTGAGAACTGCCAGCCCTGATTTAAGAATTGCTGACCTCTGTGGATATAGAAATGCCTCCAGAATAGGTCATACCCCTTAGCCTGCAGTCTACCATGCTAAAGGAAAATCATAGAGCAGTGCACGCCATGTCTATGCTTTATTCTCACCCTAGATCTGAAGTAAAAGCCCAGTTTAGGTCTTCTCCAGTGAACAGCTTAAAATACATCTTCCAGAAGAGAACTGACACCAAAGACACATGCTGCTGCTACTACTTCTCAGCAATGCTGGGCAGTCAGCAGAGAAGGGCATATGTCTGAATGAGACAGAGAGTAGACTTCCACATAGGCCACACCCCTCCCGCAAGAACTGCCTCTACAGAAGCCACTAGCAGACAGGTGAGCAGATGTAGAATACTGGTTACTGGGGTACCACTTGTTTTAGACTCTGATTGAGAGGAGAAATCAGAGGAAAAAGGCACCCCAACTTAAGTTACTAGGTTCTACATCTCCCCGTTCAACATATCACATAGATTCAGTTCCCAAGGCACTTCCATTTTGAAGCTGAAATACAACAAATGTAATTGAGAACAGGCAAGGTTTGAAGCAAGCAAAGATGGAGGTGCCCATCACTGCCAGTCATGTTAGGTCAAATTACAATCAAAATCCATGTGCTGTTTAAATAAACTAAACACTATGGATTCACTTACTTTTTGACATCCAGAGAGCCATTTTCCTTGTTTTCCATGTCAACAGTTAGCATGGGGAGGATAGAAGTTTCTTTTACTTCAGCAACTGATCAACAAGGGGAGAAAAAGTTGTGCTTAATTATTGGTAGTATGAAAAGAGCAACATAATGTAACAGAAACAAGCATTCTACCAGGACACAACCACGTTTCCACTTGAGAGCACAGGTGCTGTCAAAAGACTGTTCTCCTCAGAAGCCTGTCAAGGCTGATAATAGCTAATGAACTAGGAAATGCTGACCTGTGCTTCAAACACAAGAAATATTTCACACCTGAAAAATCAACGCAGGTAATGTTACATTTGATCCTTCCTGAAACTGGTAAAAATTTTATCAAACTATATATCCATATGCGTAGAGCGACGTGCAATATATAGCTAGATATCCAGGGAGCTTATTATGCCTTCAGTCATCCTGCTATACAGAGGATCCAAACAGATGTATGATCTTATCCCTAGTGAGGATAAGATGTAAGGTTTTGAAATTCATAGCCTTGTCCTACAAATAGGGAATCCAGGATACAGATCAGCACAAAGCGACTTATACCCATTTCACACATAAGGTGAGTTTAGAATTGAGTGCCAAACTCCTGAGCCCTGAAATCTATATCTTATCCATAAGACCATCCTTCCTTCACTAGCACAGTGTCTTCTACAGGTGCCATACACTGGAGTCTGAAAAGGAAAGGAGTATACGAAGGACACAGGAGAAAATCCAGTTTGTTTCCCTCCTTGCAGCATGCTGGAATACTTTAGCTACACAGCTTTTTCTA